AAAATTCATTTAACCATACTCAAATCAAGTAAGTATTTCGTTCAAGGGTTAATTGGAAAAATTTGGAGGAAGCAATATTTTCTAATTGAAGTATAAAAAAAAAATCGAATTTTTTTAACGTCCTATCATTGTCAATCGACGGGAATATTTGATTGCATTCATACTAGTGATATTGCAAGTTTTGCAGTACAATTTTTTGCGGAGTCAATGCTCCTCAGCGGTTAATTGGATTTCATTTTGTTATTAGGATCTGCGATTTCTGGCTCATCCGTAAAAGCACTTAGGTGCATAGAAAAACTAATGGTACATACGTTGTTTCTAAACTGAGGCAGAAATTGTTCCTACACCGAAAAAAAGTGAAGTTGATTTAACATTCTGGATGTAAAAAAAATGTGTGAGAACTTATAAATGCTGGAATGTCTGCCACAACAGCTAGTTTTACATCTTAGCATTGCTGAAGTATTGGCTGTGGCGGGTAATTCAGCTGTTTTTAAGTTCTCGCACACTTTTTTCCATCCAGAATGTCAGATGAACTTCATTTTTTGTGTGTGTGTGTGTGTGTGTATATTCGAAAAAGGGAGCCCAATTTGGAGACCAACATTTTAGCACTCTCAAAATAATTCATCCGATCGTGGCGTGCTTTGCGATATATCGATTGATCTACCATTTAAACCTATGGAATAGGATCGATGGACAGGGTTTCCACAACGAGCACCTTAATAATCGATTCTTTACTATACAGCTTCAAATGGAGGAATATCGATAATCGATCATTCACGCCTCTCCTTTGCCATCGATCGTACCCAGAATGCGTCGCTCCAACTGAGGAACCACTTCAAGGGGAGCTTCCTAGAAAAAGCGCGGAGCAAAATGAAATTGATAACGACTGTGCGTATCTTGTCGGTCGCAATCTCCGTCATGTCCCGGAGTGGTGGAATAATGGAGTTTATGAGGGGGTTGATGGATTCAACCCTTCGTTTGGCTCGATGAGATTGAAGGGTTCGCAGTCGGAGGGGTTGAAGCGAGTGAAGGCACAAAAGAAGCGCATAGATGGAAGTCAGCCGCAGATACCGGCCAAGATGCACTTTTTGTCAGTTCACGACAAAGACTGAATGTAAACAAATTTTAGAATGGACCACTAGACAAGGTACGAATTTCAGCATTCTGATACAAGTTTCCTGACCAGAATTTCACGTAAAACACGATACGCACAACGAAAATTACCGAAATTAACTCCTTACGAAGATATTTAATGATTCTTGATGCGTGAATTGAAACCACCCGCTTATGAAAACTCAAAGCTCTACGTGATTCACATCGCGCGCTAAACGTTATCATCAACGTCTCAGCGATATAAAAATCTGGCAACGTCGATCTTGACGCTGCTCAGTTTTAGAAAATCGCTAATAGTTTGAACAACTCATGGTGGGAAATGAACGTTGCTCGATTGAGAAGCTTGCTGAAACCGTTGTAGTGCGCGATTTGACTCACGTAGAGCTTTGAGTTTCTTGTGAGCGGACAGTTCAAATTCCTCGTAACCGATGTGAAATAAAAACGTTAATATCTTCACTAAGAGTTGGTTTCAATAACTTTTGTTGCGCGAATCGTATTCTACGTGAAATTTTGGTTCAGAAACATGTATTAGAATGCTACAATTCGTACCCTGTCTAGTGGTTCATTTATGTGTAAAAATGCTTAAAAACCGGATTACATGTACAGGCTATTTGAGAGAGATTTTTTTTACCTCCAGCAGGCTGATCGTTGAAATTGGTAGACAAAGCTTCAAACTGACAGCCCCTTCGAAGGAGAGGGAAAGGGGAAAGGGGTTGACATTGGAGGGAGGGGGGAAATGGGACCTAAAAAAATTTCCTGACGTCATTTATAGATGGGACTCTGCTTTTGCGGGCTGATTGTTGAAATTAATAGACAAAGCTGTAGACAAAGAAGGCAAAAGGGATATGGAGGGGTCCTATCGAAGAAACGGGTGGTTGCAGTGGACAAAGGTGTTAGGTAGTGACTAACTAACGGCAACCCCTATCCTTTATTTAGTCCATCATTTTCTTCCTTAGTCCACAGGAACCAATCATTTCAACCAATAAGATCGCTCTATACTCCCTCTGTCTTCTTTGTGTATTGATTTCAACAATCTGCCCGCAGAGTGCTCTCTACATTTCATGAACCGGAAGAAATTAGAATCAAAAGAATTAAAAGAAACTAAGAGGACAAAAAGAGAGAGGAAGCGACTGCGCGAAAAATAGAAAGATGTAGGTGGAGGAAGAATGAAGGAACGGAGAGAAGACAAAAAAAGACTTAAGTAGAAGAGATAAGGAGAGATGATAAGATTTGATAAGAATGATGATAATGAATGAGAGAGAAAACAAGATTATGGAGGAGGAGTAGGAGGAGGAACAAAGAAGAAACATCGGATGAAGGAGAAGAATAAGAGGAAAATAATGAAAAGTTGGCGACTTTCAAATTTTAACCTTGCTTTTTCACGCCACTCTTGCTCTTCTTGGCCTCCAAGCGCTCGCGTTTTTGCTGGTGCACTGACGACTGGGACTTGTAAAACCGCGGAGAGGAAAGACTCCGTTAAGAGAAACGAGTAAGCATAAAAGGTCGAAACCAATCGAGGAATTGATTCGATAATGGGGACTTGTATCCCACTATCCACCCGGGAGCCAATAAAAAAGAGGAGGCGACCGACAATCGACAATTGGGTGGCGCGAGGGGAGGGGAAGAAGGGGTGGCAGGGGTTGGAAAAGAATTATCGAGGCGAAATAGGTGGATTTGTCGATTTCCTTGGGCAGTGTCCAGCGATAACACCGCGGCTACAAAAATTGAATTGTGAAGCGCGGAATGTTTCCCTCGGCGCGTCCTCAGCCGCGAGAGAGAACGGAATCTGGAGAGTCTATTTCCGGACTGCCCCTTCGCCGGCTACAACTTGTTCCGATTCATTTGCACTCGAGTGCCGATTTAGGAACACCGAAAAAAAGGATGCTGATTCAACATCCTGCATGTAAAAAGGGAGGGTATGGATTATATCGACATGAATCGATCGAAAATGAAAACGTGAATCGATCGACAGTTAATTTAAAAACACCCGTATCGATTCGATCGACATGAATTGATCGAAAAATGAAAACGTGAATCAATCGACACCGATTCGATCGACAACCGTGAATCAATCGACAAACCCGTGAATCAATCGACAAACCCGCGAATCGATCGACAAAAGCCGTGAGTCGATCGACAGACCCGTCAATGGATCGACAAACCCGTGAATGGATCGACAAACCCGTGAATGGATCGACAACTCGTGAATCGATCGACAAATCCGTGAGTCGATCGACAAACCCGTGAATCGATCGACAAATCCGTGAGTCGATCGACAAACCTGTGAGTCGATCGACAAACCTGTGAGTCGATCGACAAACCCGTGAGTCGATCGAATTTTGTCGATCGAATCGGTGTCGATCGATTCACGTTTTCATTTTTCGATCGATTCGTGTCGATCGAATCCATACCCTCCGTAAAAAAGTGTGCGACAACTCACAAAACGCTGAACTAACCGCCACAGCAGTTAGTTTTACATCTTGATATCGCTAACGTAACTACTGTATCGGTCAATGGAGATGTTGCACGTGTTAGGGATGTTCGCTCTGACTATTGATTCTTATGCAAAAGTTCGCGAGAAACACGATGGTGCCACTGGTTTTCTCTGAAATCAACTCCCAAGCTCAAAAAAAGCTCTCAAGTTGAGGCCAAAATGGAGGGGATATCCCACGCTATCCTGAGAGTCCACCTCTACATTAAGACAAACTCTCCATGCAAAGATGGGGAGCAAATACATTGACAAGGATGCCACTTTATTTGGGGACTCCAAAACTGAAAACACGGCAACCCTGCTTATGTATTTGCTCCCCATCTTTGCATGGAGAGTTTGTCTTAATGTAGAGGTGGACTCTCAGGATAGCGTGGGATATCCCCTTCATTTTGGCTTCAACTTGAGAGCTTTTTTTGAGCTTGGGAGTTGATTTCAGAGAAAACCAGTAGCACCATCGTGTTTCTCGCGAACTTGTACATGAGAAGCAATAGTCAAATCGCAAAGTCCTCACACATGCAACGTCTCCGTTAACCGCCACAGCAGTTAGTTTTGCATCTTGATAAGGCTAACGTAACCACTATACTGCCGTGCTGAGGAAGAACGCCGTATGAACATTCAAGAGTTGCCAAATTTCTCTAGATAAGATGTTTATTTTTCAGAAAAGTTTTGAATATTCTTCTATGAAATTTTCAGATAATGTAGATTAAATTGCGAAAAAAACTATCTGAAAAATTGGACGAAAAATATCCACAAGTTTGCCAGGAAATTTTTGTTTTATCCGAGAAAATTTGGCAACACCCAGTAGGTTTATACGGCGTTTTCCTTTAGCACGGCAGTGTAACGGTTAATTCAGCGTTTTGTGAGTTGTGGAACACCTTTATCCTACTTGTACACGGAGAAAAAAAACTCGTGCGTGGGACCCGAAGTTTACGTCTTATGGATCCCTGAAGTTTTCAGATTGAGCATCTGAACACTTTAGGTCTAGCAGTCGAGGTTCGGATCACACATCTGAAACTTCAGTTCTTACATCTGAAGTACTTCGATTTTCACATCCGAAGCACTTCGGTTCTCACATCCGAAGTACTTCGGTACTCACATCTGAAGTACTTCAGATGTAAGAACTGAAGTTTCAGATGTATGATCCGAACCTCGACAGCTAGACCTAAAGTGTTCAGATGCTCAATCCGAAAACTTCAGAGATCCATATGACCTAAACTTCGGGTCCCACGCACGAGTTTTTTTTTCTCCGTGTAAGCCTCCACGGAAAAGTCTCGTTCTCCGATATCAGAGACTCTATTAAAAAGCTAAAATAAACGCTAGAAATTTTCAACTGGGAAAGGTTTAGCAACTGAGGCACAATCGTGTATTTCCAAGGGAGATAAAGAAGGAGAATTACCTTATTTACGAGGTTGAATAACGCCGACCCAACTTTTTTCGAGCGGTAACTTTCTGTTACGTAAATATCCTCTATGAACAATTTTTTTCCGGCCCAGGTGCCGTAAGCGTAGTTGCAGATGCTGTAGCCGACTAATTTACCTCGACCTGTGTAAACAAACAAAGTGACGGAGGGTTAATCCACTGACGAGGCTCTGTTGCCAAATCAGGACGTGCTTCGCGTCTGCCCACACTTCGTCGTCTCCCGGACGAAAGAACGTAACTCCATTCCAATGTTGCCAAATTTGTCCTCGCAAATTGCCTATTAATCAAGAGAATCTCGGGCATTTCTGACTGAAAATTTCCCTGATTTTTCTCTAGATCCCAAGCAAAAAACAAGAGATATTTTGGATAAAAATTGCTTACGTACATTTATGTATCATAAGTTGATTGTTTGAGTCAGTTTGGCAACCTTGGAGTGGAGTTACGTTCCTTCGTGCCGGAGACGACGACTTGCCTCACTACGGTGGGGAAAAGGTCTTCCATAGAAAGAAAATGGGCCTGAGCAAACATTTTCCAGAGCAAAAATAAGAGTTGCCTCCTGATGAAAGTGGCTCAAAAATAAATAATAATGGGTTAGCTGCGCCAGTCACAAAATTTTGTTTTGATACATTGAGCTTATAGATTAACTAAAATTTAAGAGAAATGTGCAAAAGCCCGATTCCGACGTCCAATATCAACGCAGATACCGCGAATCTGCCGTGCTAAGGAAGAACGCCGTATGAACCTCCAGGCGTTGCCAAATTTCCTTTGATAAAACACGAGTTTCCTGGTAAACTTATGAATATTTTCTTTCCAATTTTTAAGATAATTTTGCTCACGATTTCACCTAAAGTTCCTGAAAATTTCAAGGAAAAATATTCACAAGTTTCCTCAAAAATGAACATTTTATCGAAGGAAATTTGGCAACTCTCGAATGTTCATACGGCATTCTTCCTTAGCACGGCAGTGATCCAAAAACACTCGTAATTTTTTACAAGAGAACGATTGTGCGGATTCGTTTGAAAATTTAAAGGATTTTGCTTCGTGCTATGGAGAAAATGTTTTGAAATTTGCATAAAAATCCGCACAGCCGTTTTCATGTAAAAAAATAAATTGCCCAATTAAATTTGGCAATAGCTGATGTGGCTTGGTTCCTTTCTGCTTAACGCGGTCCAAATATTCCCGATAAAAATTGTCTCGTACTTTTGTAAAATAACTTTAGTCTTAGAATGGGCTTGTTGCAAAGTTTTGCTAGAGCAAAAATAAGGGTTGTCTCCATCTATAAAAGTCTCAAAAATCTCGATGAGTGCATTGACAAAGTTTGAAATGCACTCCTAACTTTACAATCTGCGTAAGAGCGTTAGCGTTACAGCCGCTGCTGAGGCCTGTAGTACGTCTCCTATGCAAGATCAAGAGCGTTAGCGTTGCGTTTGCGTAAGAAAGTACGAGAAAATTTTTATCAGGAATAATTGGACCGCGTTAATCAGAAAGGAACCAAGCCGCAACAGATATTGCCACTTTAATCGGGTAATTCATTTTTTTACATGAAAACGGTTGTGCGGATTTTCGTGCAAATTTCAATGAATTTTCTCCATAGCATGAAGCAAAATCCTTTCAATTTTCAAATGAATCCGCACAATCGTTCTCCTGTAAAAAATTACGAGTGTTCTTGGATAAGCGGTATTTGCGTTGATATTGGACGTAGGAATTGGGCATTTGCACACATCTCTTAAATTTTAGTTAATCTATAAGCTCAATGTATCAAAACACAATTTTGTGACTGGCGCAGCTGACCAATTACATCAAATACGATGGACAGCTCACCTAGTGCGATTCGTATTTTATTTCATAATAGAAACGTTTGTGCCAAAATTTTATATGCGATGTGGCAACTCCGTTGCCTTCTAAAGAATGCGAGGTAATTAAATTTTAATTGCGACAGGTGGAGAGTTCACACGGAACGAAAGGCCGTTGAAAAGGCCTCCGTGGAAAATTCAGCTCCGATAGCGCGCAAAATGACAGGGTGCAGTTTCATTTGTTGTCGTGGTAGATTAATCAAGTGGTGTTACCCGTTACGATACTATTTTTCAATCTTCCTTTCTCTCCTCTCTCTTTCGCACTAGCTTTACCACCATTGAATAACGCCTCGTTAATGACGCTGACCATCAAATCTGTGGGGAGAGTAAACATTTATTTCATGCTTATGAGAACATGTATTAATAGACAGATCATAAATGAGCACACAAAAAAGAGTCGAACGTAAAACAGATTTTCAACTGTAATGAATTGAGTTGAAATGGGAATCGAACACGGAAAAAATGGATTGCTGATTTAACAATTATTAATTTGTTAAAAAATATATCTGACATGTTTCAAATGTACGGTTTACAATACTGTCAGTTTAGGCTCTTCGTAACACTAGTGCATGAAAATTGCTTATCATTTTGCATTTGACAGATGCAGCCCAAACAGCACTCAAAGTCAACACATCAAGACTGCTCTCTCTGTAGGTCGCGGCCGAACCAATGTAAAACGCCTTCAATTGCGGGTGATACTGTGCAACACGCCAAAGTTGAAATAGTTGTATTCTATGGTTGGAACCTAACCGAAGTAAACTTCTCTACCAAATAAGGCATGTCAATCTGTTGTTAACTGCCGTATTTCAAGTTAACTCGCATATTTTGAGCTCATTATTGTTGTGACAAAAATTTTATGCCTCAATTGATTTTAACAGAAATAATTATCCTTGTTATTATGCCCAACGAGAGAGGTTCACCTGAAGAAGAACATGTTCTTGAAACTCTCAGTTTTTGAGCGCGTCCTTCATTCATCGGGGGGTATTTGTGACGAGGAACTCAAATTTTCAGTCGTGTGTTTGAAATTCGAAATTCCTAGACGGCGGATGTGGCCTAAAATCCTGTCTCGACTCCTTTCTCATCGATTCATTTATGAAACTTTAACGAGGGATTGTTATTCCTCCTGAATGTCATCAACCTGACCACGAATATATTGTTTTAATGTCTCTACCACAGTTAAAAAATTAGACAAAACTGGAGGGGGAAGAAGAAGAAGAAGAAGAAGAAGAAGAGGAAGAAGAAGAGGAAGAAGAAGAAGAAGAAGAAACCCTGGTGATCTGCGTATCAGACTCATAAATCAGAGGAAGATTACAGAATATAAAAGATATGGGATGGACAAAAAAGTGTCGCAAAGTGGAGTGTCAACGACGAGCTATAAGAGTTATTGTGATCGGATGCTGGAGAAAAGCGTGCAGAAAGAAGAAGTTTCCAAAATTTCCATGGTGAGCTTTAAAGGGAAAGTCGGAAAAAGTGAGGCCGCTCGACGCGTGTTGAACAACTATTGTCTCGTCCCCTGAGAAAACACTTAAAAGGCACTTCTCTCGGTGAGAACCCCTCCAGCTCCAGCTGTTGCCACACTGTAAAACCGTGCACGCCCAAGGATTTTACTAAACGATACGCACAAATTTACCCCAGTAGCAGAACAAATTTTTGTCTCCCTAAAAAAAGTATAAAAAAAACATATCTGTTATCTAAATGGTAGTTTTATATAAAAGACATGTAACGCTCATATTAAAAAAAAAAACAAAGTTCAGACTGACCATAATATATGAAAAATGATAAAAGCTATAGAAGGTAATTTTTTTTTTATTTTTTTATATAAAGCATGCATACGAAAGTGTTAAAAGAGAACATTTGTATGTAACTATTATATTAAAAAAAGGTCATCATTTTCGTGAGCTTTTCGCGAATTAGAAGATTTTTTTAGTACGTTTTCGAAAAGCTTACGAAAATTATGACTTTCTTCTACATAATTGTTACATGAAAATGTTCACTTTTAACACTTTCGTATGCATGCGTTATAGAAAAAAAATTAACTTTCGCACATAATCTTTATCTTTTCCTTCTATGGTTCTGCTACTAGGGTTCTACTTTCTCTAAATTTCTACTACTACTCTAAAAAACTACTAAGGAAAGCAAAGAATGAAATAGAATATAATAATAAGAAGAAGATAATGATAGTGATGACGAACACGAAGAGAAAGAAAAATAAGAGGGAAAAGGAGATAAGAAGAAGAAGAAGAAGAAGAAGAATAACAATAAGGAGAAGAAGCGGCAGAAACAGGAAACGTGCAGTAACATCTAAAGCACATATTTGTTTCCAAAATGAGTCTAAAATATCACTTCCTAATTGCAAAATGCAGTCTATTTTGGAGTAGGTAATCAAAATTTTAGGGGCCATGAGAACAAGGGAAGTGATCTTACTTGCTCTGACATACCCATACAGAGTCGTGGCTGTAAATACAACTTAACGCACTTATATGCAGATCAAATTGCACGCAGTATAACTTGAAGGAGTTTCACAGTGCCAATTCTAATCAATGCTGCTCTTCCTGCATACTGATAACTTGAGCTGCAATACCGAAGCTCCATAGAAAGCAATTGATACCTGCTGGAAGCCTCTCTAGAGCCTTTCCTCCTTTTGCCAGGTAAAACTTCTGCGAAAAATTCCGAGCGGTTGCTACAAAATGTGGTAAACCGCGTTTCAAACACACTGATTCAGAAATCTTCATTTGAAGATCCGCCTGGAGGAGCCTTCGGATCTGTACAACGGACTCCCTCCGCGAATAGTAGACAGATATTTAAGTTCTTTGGCTCGTTAAGTAGCTGCATAGGGCTACCGCCTGTCTTCTTACCGAATTCATTTATTGTTAGAAGTTTTGGACCAGTGAGACCATGGAACTTACTTTTGGAACGTCCATCGTATTTTCGTTCTAGGTTGTATAACTTTTGAATTTTAAAGGAAAAACTGCATGTTGGTCCTCTTTGAAAATCTCCGTAGGCCGCCGTTTTGAAAAAAAAAATTGCGATTTGACCACTTCCCGGATGGAATTTTTCGGTAAACTTTTTTTTCTGTCTTATTCGGTACCTAAAAACTCTATATACCAAAGAAATAGTATGTGCTAATTTGTCAGAGGTGAAAAGCTAGATTTACGGGACTAAATTACAAGTTTGGATGGTAGCATTTTCAAACGAAATAAATGAAAGTGTCCGTAATCCAATTAGATTGAAGCCCTCGTGATATGACACCCTTGCTTATTTCCTGACGGG